TTTCTCATATTAAATTTTTTTATGATTTGACTACGTGAAATTTTTGTATATATTTTTCTTTTTATTTGTATTAAATAAATGTGATCCAATTATTATTAATAAAAAGAAATAGATATAAAAATTTTACGTGATCAGAATTTTTAAAATTTTTACGTGAAATGATCCATTTTCATATACATAATATGTAAAGAATCTTGGGATACACCACCCCAAAAGCTAGCTCAAAGGGTGAGAGTGTCCAAGGTCTTATAAACTCCACATTAGTTGCTCATATAACCAATGTGGGACTATATATCTCAACACGCCCCCTCACACAAGAGCCTATTGGGCTTGAAGAGTGGACAATGCAACAGGCCCAACCTACCTGTGCTAAGAAATGCCACAAGAGAAAGTGGGGGGCGGCGAGGCTCTGATACCATGTAAAGAACCTTGGGATACACCACCCCAAAAGCTAGCTCAAAGGGTGAGAGTGTCCAAGGTCTTATAAACTCCACATTAGTTGCTCATATAACCAATGTGAGACTATATATCTCAACATAATAAAAAAGAAGAAGAAAAGATAATAGAAAAAAAAAGTGAAAGTTATAATTCACCTTATTTGATATCATTCACCCAAAAAAAGAAAAGAAAGAAAAAACATAATAACATTAAGATGGATGAAAACATGTAGGGTACACTCATTACGAGATTAATCTTTTCTCCCTCTCTTCCTTTTGCATACCAAATAAACCATTCAAGCATTATTTTCTCTCTCTCTCTCTCTATATATATATATATACTTTAATCAATGTGTCTTTGTCTGGTGGATTGATTTTGTCTTTGTCTAGCAATAAGCAGCTTTCCCCTGTTTCGTGTTTATCTTATTAATCGCCCGCATTCATCGTACCCTTCATCATATGTCCATGTCTCATTTCCAGTATCGTTGGTGGGTGCATGTTTCGTCTAAGAATTTTCATAATTATATCTACTTGCTGAGATATAAATTTAAAGAAATAAATAGTTTTTGAAAATCTAAACTCTAGTTTGAATTGTTAAAATTTCAAATCTAAACCTGAAGCGAAGAGAATAGCTTAGATGACCCGCATCATACTAATAGTACTATAATACTTTATTAACATGATATGGAATTTCTGTAGCTCTTATTAACTCTAACTTCTTTTAAGTAAAACTTAAAGTAACAATCAATAAATTCAGTACAGTTGGTAGATAGTTGGGTCTCTTACACATAATAATAGAAATTTGATTCCTGATCGTGTATATGAAAAAAAATTTGTTGATAGATGCAAAATCTATTTCAATAATCTCTACATCTTGAGAGGATTAATTTTCAATTTTCAGCCTGAGAATACCCAAGTTATATTTAAAAACTTAAAGTAACATAATTGGATGGCTAATTATGTAATTAGTCCCATATTTCGTATAAACCCTGGCCTAGGCAAGGATTGGTGGATACTAGTGTGTAACAAGAACTGTATTCCTGGTAAAGGTGCCCCATGCTTTGCTTAGTTTGAAAAAACAAAAAGCCGGTGGGTCCATCACAGAGGACAAAGGGTATCCCCATGATTACTGATCTTCAATTGGGGCATCACAGCCATAAACAGGTGCTTTTATCAAAGTTGAGCTTGGACTAAACATCAAGAAAAAAAGAGGTGCCTCTGGTCATTATTTCTCTTTTCGATATATTATTAATTTTAAGCACGCATAGTTATAGATGAAAGATTTCATTGGATTGGGGTTTAGGATATGTTTCAAGAGCTTTCATTACCACTAAATCGTGATAAGGTTATCTTAATCAAAGCGGACCTACTCATCTGGTTCTTTTCAGCTTGATGAGTTAAAAGACTCCTAAATCCTTATATTGATTGAGCTGAGTGAATTGGATGAAATCTAGATTGGTAATTTACTGACAATGATTGAACATAATAACTCACATTTTGAGAAAAAGTGTAAATAAACTCAGGGAAATCTAAATTAGACCAAAATATAGTGATATTTTTGTAAAAAATTAATTCAATCCAAAAGTTTAAATTCAAGAATGATATTTATATTAGACTTTTCTAATATATCTCTTCACATAAAAGTCCATTGGACTTAAATGTTGCGGAAATTTTTCTCAAATCAAACCCGGTATACCTTATGTATATATTAGTTGTAACGCCTCGTTTGCAATCGGTAAGTTAACATGCAATATAGTATTAAGCGCAAGATAATAAATTAACTTGCGGAAACTATATATCTAAAAGTAGGGATTGATTATTCTACCTACTATTTTTTCTGTCTATCTTTGCCTACCACCCTCCAACACTGTTAGATCAGAATCTCAAGAAGAGAGAGAAAGATAAATTTAGTTAAGATTATGATCTAAAGGTGTTTTAAAGTGGTAGGCAAAGATAGGCAAAAAAAAAAAATGATAGGTAAAATAACATATCCCTAAAAGTATCCCTATTACTCTATGTAATTATGTGACTTAACTTTTTTCTTTTCTTATGTATTGATATTCATAAGTTGTTTTTCGTATTATCTTAAATTGTACAGTCTCATACTTGTACGGAACTCTTATTTGTTAATCCTGTAGCTGTAATTAACGGTTAATGACTCTCTATATATGATAACTTGTATTATTTTGAATATAATCTTGCGGACAGAATAACAACTAAAAACTGGATAACTCAGGAAATAATTCCCACCATATAAAGAGTACTTGAAACTTAGAAAAGTCCAATCCAACAGAATACCAGATAGTCCAATCAATAGACTTAGAATCCATCTATGGATTCAAACAGTTGGCTTCATAACCAACATATATTTTTATGGGAATGAATCCTCTTATGTAGAAAAGTGATCATGTGGTCATGTTGTTTGATCACAACCACTTATTTGAAAATTGTATATTTTTCTCATTCTTATCTCATCATCAATGAGTGATTGTGATCAAATAACATGACCACATGATCACTTTTTCACATGAGAGGATCCATTCCCTATTTTTATACATGTCCTGAATATAACTCATATACAACATATATACATCGACATCTCAAAACATACGTTAGTCTATATACATAAGTTCATGATCATACATGCTACAAAAAATATAATTATTGTTAATAATTTTTTACATATTTATTACTCATTATTAACATAATTATAGTGTTATAAAATTAAATTGTATATGCCAAACAACAATTACTAGAAATTTTTTATTCAAGGATGAATATTGCTATTAGGTGCAAAATATTTTTTACGAAAATTAAAATATGAATAAACTGTGCTTGTCGCTGAACAAAAGTGAGCCGCTTCACTTTGCCCTTAACATGCCACGTGGACCATGCCCTCTGATTCTGTATGGAATTGCTTCAGTTTCTCTTCCACGTCAAGGTTTAGGCTTTAGAACATCAAAGATAGACAGAGGAAAAAACATAAATTAGAGAGTGCCCTCATACATTTTGACGGGATTAGTATCGTCATCCCCTCCAACGGCATTGAGTGGCGTCAACAAATTTCACGAGACTGACTTGCAGATTTTACGTGGCCATTGGTCCCGTCATCCATCCATACGGGACTGATCCCGTCACTGAACCATACAACTTTGACTACATTAGTATGATAAATCATCTCAAAAGTGCTTTGACAAGGATAATCTTTTACCAAAGCTTCTTATTACTGTGCTTTTGCCCATTAGAACATGTAAATCTAATGGCAACTGACAAATGTTAATCACGGTCCACTATTGGGTCATAATCTTCAACTATACGGCCATGGATGGATGTTTTTGTTTCCTAAGTTCACCAAGAATATAGAGGTTTTCCAATAAGATAAGATCAACCAAATAAGGCAATGTGTATTTTTAACATTTCCTAGTCGTCCTTAGTCCTTGTAGTATGGCATAAGAAGCAATAAATTTATATAATAAATTTTTGGCATACTTATTTACTTGTGCAACATGACTGATTAGCAATCATTTTATGCAATTTAGGAATATTATTAAATTAATATATATTTTTAAAGAAAAAGTTTAGGAAAAAAATTAAATTTATAAAATATATATAATTAATTTAAACATAATTTAAAATTAAATATTTAAAAATGATAAAAATATATATATGTATAATTAGTTCAAAAGAATTATAAATTAAAATTCAAAATAAAAATAAAAAAATAAGAATGACATAAATCACTTATCAAGAGAGAATAAACTAAAAACTAAATCACTTTTAAGATATTATATTTTAATTTAATATACAGAAAAATGTTTCTGCAGCTATTGCAGATAAGTTATTTGTAGTGTATTTACTCTCAAAACAACGTCGTTTTGGTGTTGAAATATTAAAAAATTATAATTAGAAAGACTATTATAACCCTGAAATAAATTAAAATTACAAAAATACCTTGATTTCCGCCCCAAAACTACGTCGTTTCGGGCTCAAAGCAAATAACTATTTACATTAATTACAGAAAAAATGAACCCTTTAATATATAAGAATATAATTGATAAAATTGGAATGGTGAAGGAAATCTCAATTTTCTAGGGTCAAGTATATATACTGAGATAACTTAAACATAAGATGTGAATAAGGGTTTAAACTTTCACGTACTCAACCAGACTAGCAAATTATATACTTATCAAGTTAACATAATTGGTTCACAACTTCCCTCTCTTATAACTAAAAAGAAAAAAGAAGAAGCAGTAATCATGTTGGAACCCTTCATGTATATCAAGTCTGCAGATGTGTGTGCAGCAGCTGATTATTTATCCATAACTGACTTGTAACTTATTTAGAGTTAGTTTCTGATTAGTTAGATTAGTTAGCTGATTAGTCTAGATATAAATAGAATAGTCCTCTGTATTCTTTAGATAGATTGAGAAATACAATGCTTCTAATCACTGATTCTTTGGATTTCAATATGGTATCAGAGCTCTGATATCTCGCTTTTCATCTTCTTTCTTCGAAATTCTCTGTTTCAAGTGCTACTATTCTTTACCTTGATTCAAGGTTTCAATGGCGAGTCAGAGTTCTCTTTCAGACCATTTGTCAAATCCATCGAATCCTCTGTATTTGCATCCAAGCGAAAGTCCGTCGTTGGTTCTTGTTACTCCAGTATTGAATGGACGTAACTACCATGGCTGGGTGCGTGCTATGAAGATGGCCTTATTGTCTAAGAACAAATTATGTTTTGTTGATGGAACTTACACGGTCCCTGCAGAAACTGATCCCTTGTTCAAGGCTTGGGAGAGATGCAATATCATGGTACTATCATGGTTGCATCGTTTTATTGATGAATCCATCGCAAAATCCATACTATGGATGGAGCGAGCTTTTGAAGTGTGGAAGAATTTGTTTGAGCGATTCTCACAATCGGATGTCTTCAGAGTCGCAGATTTACAAGAGGACATTCAACGCCTTCAACAAGGAGAGCGTTCTGTGAGTGACTTCTACACTCACTTGAAATCACTGTGGGATGAGTTGGAAAACCTCCAACCATTACTGAATTGCACTTTGTGGTGCATCAAGCAAGATAAAGGAAGGTAGGGAACATGATCAAGTAATTCGGTTTTTGAGAGGTTTGAGTGATCAATTCACTCATGTACACTCACAGATTATGCTTATGGATCTGTTGCCTGGGATGAACAAAGTCTTCTCACTTGTTGCACAATAAGAGAGGCAAATGAATTTTGAATTTCATTTTGAAGCTTCAGCATATGCAAAGGCGTTCATTGCAAACCAACAAATGAATCGTTCAGTGTTCAACAAAAAACAAGAATAATGCTGGTAGAGGACGTGGTACCAGACTCTGTACACATTGTGGGAGAACGAATCATACTGTAGATACATGCTACGCCAAGCATGGATATCCACCTGGATTCAGGAACAGACCAAGGCCAAGTTCAGCTAATGCTACTGTTTCTGATCTGATCGTGAATACTGAAGAACACAAGAATGATGATAAGGTGCTTGTGTCACAGCAAGACTATAAGAATTTTCTTGAATTTTGGCAGCAAACGAAGATGGAACAGAATGTTGCTCCCTCCACAACTAACCATCATGCAAATTTTGTTCAAATGGCCCAACCACAAAACATGACTCTCAATGTCAACTCAGACCAATTCTCTGGTAAGCCTCTTTCTCACTGGATACTTGACACAGGAGCAACAGATCATATATGCTCCATTGGTCGTTTCTTCTTTCCCTAAATAAAATCAAGCCAATTGACATTACCCTTCCAAATGGACATAAGGTTACAGCACACTACTCTGGCATAGTTCGTTTGTCTCCACTTTTACAGTTGTCTGAAGTATTCTATGTTCCAGAATTTTGTGTGAATCTGATATCAGTTACTAAATTGTTACATTCTATTCAATGTGAACTCATTTTTCGTGATTCTCTTTGCTGCATCAAATAGATCCATTCAGGACAAGTGATTGGTTCTGCTAAACTTTACAATGGACTGTTTGTCTTGAACTCAACAGAAGAAGCCCTCATGAAGTCAGAAGTAGACTTTACTAGGCAAAGTAATAGTGCATTTGTTGATACCTCTATGCTATGGCATTATCGTTTAGGATATATATCTGATACTGTTATGCAGAATATGTGTAGTAAATTTCCCTTTGTGTCTTGCAATAAGAATGGGACTGTTTGTGACGTATGTCATTTAGCCAAACAAAGAAAGCTTCCCTATGGTTCCAGTACTAGCAACTCTTCCAAAGTTTTTGAACTTGTACATGCAGATATTTGGGGTTCATTTTCTGTGCCCTATGTAAATGGTGATAGATATTTCTTAACAATAGTAGATGATTTCTCAAGGTTCACATGGGTGATTTTGATGACAAATAAAGGAGATACCAGAAATCATTTGCGCAATTTTTTCATGCTTGTCAAAAATCAGTTCAATGCTTCTGTTAAAGTAATTCGCAGTGATAATGGGATGGACTTCTTGATGCCAGATTTTTATGATAAAATGGGAATTATTCATCATAGAACATGTGTTGAAAGTCCACAGCAAAATGATGTAGTTGAAAGAAAACACCAACACATCCTCAATGTGGCAATGAGCCTTCTTTTTCAAGCGAAGATATCTCTCAAGTATTGGTCATTCTGCATATTGCATGTTGTGCATTTGATCAACAGAGTTACCACTACTGTTCTGAATAATAGAACTCCATATGAAGCCTTGTTTGGCTGTCCTCCCTCCTTAATACATCTCAAGGTTTTTGGTTGTTTTTGTTTTGCAAGCACATTGTCTTCACATTGAACAAAGTTTGCTCCCCGTGCTCGAAAGTGCCTTTTTCTTGGCTTTAGAGAAGGTACAAAAGGATATGTGCATTTAGACCTTCAATCCCATCAAATACTGATTTCACGCAATGTTGTTTTCCATGAATAGATCTTTCTCTTACACAACTTGACCTCCAACAATGATAGTCCCTTAACTTTACCTTATGCCAATTCCCAAGACCTTATTTCTACCAATTCCCAAGATCTTGACCCACCTCCCATGCCCTACCTTGGACCCCACCACACCAACAACTACCCCTTTATCTGACCCTGTACCCACTAGCACTGATGTTATTCTTACTGAGCCTATTGTTTCAGAACCCATTACTACTAATCCTATTAATGCTGAAACTACTCGCATTGAGCCTCTACGCAAGTCCAGTCGTTCCAAAAGACAGCCATCCTATCTTCAAGATTTTCATTGCAATTTTTCCTCTACTTCTACCTCTACAACAGCACCATATCCCATATCATCTGTGCTTTCTTCTGATACCTGCCCTCAATCTCATAACATCTTATGTTGTGCATTAAGTGCCAATGTTGAGCTAAAGTCTTATGAAGATGCTGTTGAACACTCTTGTTGGAGGGATGCTATGAAAGCTGAGCTTCTTGCTTTAAACCAAAATAATACTTTGATTGTCACTGACCTTCCCCCACACAAACATCCCATAGGTTGTAAATGGGTCTTCAAAGTCAAGTACCGAGCAAATGGTTCTATAGAAAGACACAAAGGCAGGCTTGTGGCCAAAGGATACACCCAGCTTGGGGGTGTTGATTTCCTTGATACTTTCTCTCTGGTTGCTAAAGTCACAGCCATTCGAATTCTTCTCAGTGTTTCCACTGCGAGGGGGTGGCATCTAGAACAACTTGATGTCTACAATGCATTTCTTCATGGTGAATTAGATGAAGAAGTGTATATGATGTTGCCACCAGGAATGAAAGCTGAGAAGGATAATCAAGTTTGCAAGTTGCAAAGGTCCTTATACGGGTTGAAGCAGGAAAGTAGACAATGGTATTCAAGACTTACTTCAGCTTTACTTTCCATTGGATATAAACAATCTGAGGCTGATCACTCATTACTCATAAAGTCCAGCTCAAACTCTTTCACTGCATTGCTCATTTATGTAGATGATATGGTTTTAGCTGTAAATGATATGGAAGAGATTAAGAAAGTAAAGGGATTTTTAGATGCAGAATTCAAGATTAAAGACCTTGGGTCCTTGCATTATTTTCTCGGATTAGAGATCTTGAGAACTAAGGAAGGTTTGTTTGTTAATCAATATGAGTATGCTCTTGAATTGATCAATGATGGTGGTGTCTTAGGTGGGAAGTCATATTCAACACCCATGGAACCAGGAACGAAGCTTTAACAAGGTAAAGGAGAGCTGTGTGAAGATGCAAGAAGCTATAGGAGACTTGTAGGAAGACTTTTATACTTGACAACTACAAGACCAGATATTTGCTATATGGTTCAACAACTTAGTTAACACATGAGTTGTCCTACAGATGTCCATATGAAGGCTGCAGTACGGGTGCTAAAGTATTTGAAAGGAGCTCCAGGGACTGGTATATTTTTCTCTGCTAAAAATGACTTGAAGCCATGTGGTTTTGCTGATTCTGATTGGGCAACTTGTCCAGATACACATAGATCCATCACTGGATATTGTGTTTTTCTTGGTTCATCCTTAGTTGGTTGGAGATCAAAGAAGCAGACAACAATGTCACGGTCCTCTTCAGAAGCTGAATATAGAGCACTAGCAGCCCTTGCTTGTGAAATGCAATGGATTCGGTATATCCTTGCTGATTTACAGATTGATTTGACACAAGCTATTCCCATCTATTGTGATAATCGCTCAGCAATTTACCTAGCTCGTAATCATAGCTTCCATGAGAGAACAAAGCATATAGAGATAGACTGTCACTTGATTCGGGAAAAGATTAATCAAAGGCTTATTCATCTTCTGCCTATTGCTTCTTCGGTTCAACTGGCATATAGCTTCACCAAGGCATTAGGACTTGGACTTTTTAAACATTTAGTCAGTAGATTGGGTCTTCGAGACATTCACTATCCAACTTGAGGGGGGTGTTGGAACCCTTCGGGCATATCAAGTCTGCAGATGTGTGTGCAGCAGCTGATTATTTATCCATAACTGACTTGTAACTTATTTAGAGTTAGTTTCTGATTAGTTAGCAGATTAGTCTAGATATAAATAGAATAGTCCTCTGTATTCTTTAGATAGATTGAGAAATACAATACTTCTATTCACTGATTCTTTGGATTTCAATAAATCACAGCTTAGATGAATTAGAAATACAACTTCAATTTTTATAACTTTCTTTTATATTGTATTAATGATTTTTATGCATTTTTATTTTTTTTTGATTTTTTTTAAATGGATATAATTTTCGATTTTCAAGTTAAACGTGTCGTTGGCTACAAAGTGGGTCGATGTCTTTAGTGTACTTTGGGCCAATATAACTTGTACATAACTTCAAACTGCATGAATGCCAAATTCAATGGGCCATTTCCAATATACAGTGTTTTTTTTTTTTTTTTTTTGGAAATTACAGTGAAATTTTTAAGTTGCAATATGTAGAAATTCTTAGATCAATTAAATAATAAAATAAAAAATCAATTTAATGCAATTGGTGCATTGTGCCGTTACAGTGTGGTATCAGTATCCATGAAGAACTTGGCGCCAAACCCTGAACTTTTCTTCCCAATGATTAATAGAGAAATTGATTGGAAGGCCAGTGTAAGGTACCAAATATTTTGGATGTGCATATTTTATTATTAATTACCCGTGCGCTTAGCGAGGTTATTTTATATTTAATACTTTTAATAATAATTTAGATTTATAAAGAGTAATTAATCTTGTAATCATGACAGGGCATTTGGTCTAGTGGTATGATTCTCGCTTAGGGTGCGAGAGGTCCCGAGTTCAATTCTCGGAATGCCCCCAAGGCTTTCTGTTTTTCTTTTACTCGTTTTTCTATGTTAAACTCTAACCTTAAAAAGTCATGTGATTAAAAAAATACAAAGTCATATTGTACCCAAAAAAGAAAGAAAGAAAGACAAGGCCATCATGTATGGGCTCATTGATAATGTACTATGCATCAATCATCTTATGAGAAGCTCTTATGGGCCTTGTTCACCCCTGTTTGCTTTTAATCATATTGGAGTTGCGGTTATTTTTAACGATTGATAAGTAATTCCAAGTCTGCTTGATTCCTATATTTATAAAATAAGCAATATTTACTAATAAATATATTTAAAAAATAAAAAAATATTTTCAATATTTATTATACATGTATAAGATATGCATAAGGAAAATAAAATATTCATATATAAAATATAATATAATTAAGATTTGTTAAAAGTACTCGTTTCATCTCGTGACAAGGCAAAATAATATTCTAGCAATATCTCAAAATAGAATACTTATCAAGTATAATATTTAAGAGCAATATTATTTACTACAAATATATAACATTTTATGAAAGCATTATAAATCATAATTAACTAATTAAGATAATTTTTTTTTTTTTTTTGGAGTTACCCAACCCTAATTACCTCTTTGAGGCGAGTTGGCTCCCTCCGGTATCTCCACAAGCTTCGACTCTTTGAGCCGGCTATGAGACTAATTCGGAGTGCGTGGGTCAGTGATGGCTAAAGGTTCAGCCCCCTCCCCAAGAATGCATTCAGCGAAGATCGAACACATGTCCAACCCCACTAACTCAGCGCCAAGGAACCCACTGAGCTGCACCCATTGGGTCTAATTAAGATAAATTGAGTGGGATCGAGAACAAGTATTTTATAACTAGGACACAATCAAGAAAAAAAATGTTTTATGATGGTGTGTTTCACGAAAACTCCTTTGGTACTTTTAAGCATTTGCAAATATTTAATTAGGCAATTAAACAATGGAATTGAAGTATCTCACCAAATCATGGTCCAATTAAACCTCATAAATGTTGAGCCATGGAATCTATAGGAAACGAGTAAAAGATCAGTCAACTAAGTTGCAACTATTATTATATAACCGGATAACCCTTTCGGAATATTTTATATAATTATATGCTCCTACTAAGCCAATATCGATAGGAACAAGTAAAGTATTTTCAACATTATTATATGTAAGTATAATAAACAATGAAATACCCTTCTTTGTCTTAACATCACCCCAGTCCCTAGTATTATAATATTTATATAGTTTATGCTCCACAAAAGCTCCACCACAGTGTCTCTCACTCAAATTTCTCCGTTCTATATTAGAGAGCTTCAACTTGTAACTTAAGAAGCAAGAAACCATGGCAGGTGGAGGCGAAGGAAGAAACCTAGAGGAAACACCTACTTGGGCCGTGGCCGTTGTTTGCTTTGTTTTGCTCTTGATATCTATCATCATCGAGCACATCTTCCATCTCATAGGAAAGGTATGTGTGTGTATATATATATATATATATATATATATATATATATATATATATATATGCATGCAAATGTATATACATTTATGTACATGTGTCACTATTTAATATTTGTCACTAATTATTGCACCATGTGCATGAGAGCAGTGGTTGAAGAAGAAGCACAAAAAAGCTCTATACGAGTCACTTGAAAAAATCAAATCAGGTGTGAGTTTGAACCATCTAAACCTCTAATTAATGAAATTAAGTTTAAGTTATTTTGCTTTGAATTGAGAATGAAAACTTTATAGTTAGATATTGATTTTTGATTTGGTTTGGTTTGGGGCAGAGCTTATGTTATTGGGGTTCATATCTTTGCTCCTAACGGTAGGACAAGGTCCAATATCAAGGATATGTATATCAGAAAAGGTTGCAGGGACATGGCATCCCTGCAGAATCAAAAAAGAGCATGAAGACCATACGCCAGAGCATAGAACCATTGGCCGGAGATTACTATCGTCGTTCATTGGTTCCGACAGCGAAAATTCCCGGCGTATTTTGGTGGCGGGAGGAAGTGACATGTGTGCAGCCCAGGTGGGTTGAACTCTCTTGTCTTAAATTTTATTTCAGAATGATTTAAGATTTTTTGTTTTTCATTTATAAAATATCATTTTTTTTTAATTTTGTTTTTAAAGATTCTAATTCCTTTATTAATTTAATTCTGCATATCCTTTCATTTAATTTAAACATATTTTATCTTTTAGTTTATAAGTAGAAAGCCTAATTCAGATTGGTTATTATATAAATGTGTAGGGTAAAGTCCCGTTTGTGTCATCAGAGGCTATTCATCAAATCCATATATTTATCTTCGTTCTGGCTGTTTTTCATGTACTATACTGCGTACTCACTCTGGCTCTGGGTACAGCTAAGGTAAAAACACATTCCAATATATATTCTTTTAGCAAATTTTATACCTCTTTGGATACATCTTCGAATTACTTGTCTCGTTGAATTGTAATTCAATAGATGAGAAGGTGGAAACGATGGGAAGAGGAAACCAAGACATCTCATTACCAATTTTCACAGGGTTAGTCGTCTGCATATATACATATGTATATAAATATAGTTTACGGGAAAAATTATATTTACAAATTTTTTATTTACAAACTCTTATAAATTACACTATGTCTGACTGGTCATATTTCAATCAATAGTGTATGACCGGTAATTTATAAAAAAAAATTGTAAACGGATCTTTCCCTATAATATTTATATATATAATGCTAGGGAACTAACATTTATAGGTGCATTGTGTGTTTATCACAGATCCTGAACGGTTCAGATTTGCTAGGGAGACGTCGTTTGGGAGAAGACACTTGAGTTTCTGGACCCAAAATCCTGTCCTCATTTGGATTGTAAGCCAAACCCATTTCTATGGTCTTTGTTTTTTTTTTTTTTTTTTGTTTCCTTGAGTGAGTGTATTCATTTAAAAATCGATTTTAATGGACTACAGTATAGTATATATTTTTTTTTAAATACCACAAAAAAGAGAGGAATATACACCTATGAAGCTCTATAGCTAGCAAAATTTTCTAATTTCTGTATTTCTTTTTTATATTTCCAGAAAGAAAAATAAGAATTTGTCGATGTATTCAACAGTTTCTTTGATAGCGTATTCAACGGTTTTTACTTGGCCTCTTATTATATTTACTTGACTATTTTCTCTCCTTTACCTGATTGTAATCTGCAGGTTTGTTTCTTCAGGCAATTTGTACGGTCAGTTCCCAAAGTGGATTACTTGACCTTGAGGCATGGATTTATTACGGTAATAACATTACATTCTTACCAATTTTACCTACCATTTCTTTAGCTAATCATTGATACTTGTTTGGTATATTACTCTTTATTTCTAGAACAAAATGATTTAGATTCTAACTTAGTTGTTCTTTTTTGTAAATGATCTCACCTACAAAATCAACATTGCCCAAATTAGCTGATTATTACATTTTCCAATTTTGTGTTTTACATGCATTGAACATTTAATGGAATTAACGTTAATTGATTTAGGCACATTTGGCGCCTCAAGGTCACCAGAAATTCGACTTTAGGAAATATATCAAGAGGTCTTTGGAAGAGGACTTCAAAGTCGTTGTAGAAATCAGGTTTTGTCCGTTATGCCCTCTATGTCCTTTTTTTTTTTTTTTTTTTTTCTCTTTCTGGATTTTTACTGTCACAATTAGCAAAAGTGTACAGGCTACTTTTAGAAAATTGTTTTATAATTGTCATGTTATTGAAATCTTATGTTTTAGAGATAAAAAGTACGTGAGATCCATATGTTAAAAAAATTATATGTAAGACCCATGTCAGTACAAAAATTAAAGGATGCGTAGAAAAATTTTAATTCTCGTGTTGAATGAGAATTATTAAACCCAAATAACAAATGTCATAATTTGATTTGCAAGTTTATTTTATAATTAACTGTTACTCTCTATAATTTTTCAGTCCTCCAATCTGGTTCATCACAGTTTTGTTTCTCCTGTTTAAAACTAATGGTAAGCAAATACATCTTAGAACTCACTAGGCCGAATCTTTTTACTGATTATTGTCTGTATATACACTTAGCTTTATCATTCATGTATGCACAGGCTGGTACTCTTATCTGTGGCTGCCATTTGTTCCTTTGATTGTGAGCACATGCAATACCTTAGCTTAATTAATTATCATATATATAGTGAACTATTTTATTCTACTATGGGTCCAGAATCCAGATAGGGATTGTTAATGATATTTTGTATAATTAATGTCCACAAAAATGCAGATCGTCTTACTAATTGGAACCAAGTTGCAAGTGATCATAACCAAGATGGGTCTTAGAATTCAACAAGAAGGAGAGGTCGTAAAGGGCGTGCCAGTGGTGCAGCCCGGGGATGACCTCTTCTGGTTTAACAATCCTAGACTTATTCTCTACCTCATTAATTTTGTGCTGTTTCAGGTATATGTGTATACTACTTTCCCAAAGCAATAACATCAATGTACTTGTTTTTATCACAAACAAAATTCACAATTCCTCTCGTACCATTTACCAATACCATCTGTTTCTTTTCTTAACAGAATGCTTTCCAGCTTGCTTTCTTTTCATGGACTGCGGTGAGTCGTCAAAAATAAAATTCAATTAAGCTACTACTCTCATCAATTAAAATGAAATCACCCGCATGAAAATACATAAAAATATGATCGAGACTTATGCAATTGTTATTATGCTAGTACTAAATTTCTATTCGTTTTTTTATTTTTTATTTTTCCTTTGGTGAGTAATGCTATCTTGTTTTATACACCATTACCTTAAATGTTTGAATATATTTTTTTTCAGCTTCAATTTGGGATGAAATCCTGTTTCCTTTCGCGTACGGAGGATGTGGTGATCAGAGTCTTCATGGGGTGAGTCTCATTCCTTTCCCTTTTAAGTGGTACCACAATTTATCCAATTTTGTAAAGTTTACTGCGTCCAATTAACATATATGATTTTCCAGGGTCTTCGTTCAAATCCTTTGCAGCTACGTAACTCTTCCTCTTTATGCTCTCGTTACACAGGTAATTAAATATTAATTTCATAAACAACTTTATTTCATTTTTCCTCTTCATTTATCAAAATCATCGCATATCATATATTACATATAGATAAAACCAACACTTCCCCTGATAGTTCATGTTCCTTTAAAAAAAAGAAGAAGATTAATTTGAATCCCGCATGTCCTTAATTTCTTTTCACCCGTTAATAGAGGTGTTCGCGGTCTGGATTGGATCAGTTTTGAAAAGAAAAATCATCTAATCCAATCCCTTCAGTTTGAATTTTTTTTTCAAATCCGATCCGATCCAATTTTTTTCGGTTTGGATTGGATCGGTTTTCAGTTTTTTTAAAATCCTAAATTTTGTTTTATGATTATTGTGCAAATAACATCTTTTGTATATATTGACTTTTTAATTTTATTTTTTTAAAATACAAAAGCATCAATAAACGATAATATAATTTTTTTTTTTTTGGATAATGAGATATGAAGCTCTATATAGATAAAATTATGTTGATGAGATGTGACTAGATTTTTTCTTGAGTTTAGAAATTTTTGGTCTATGATCGGAGGAAGACCTATTTAGGCATAGAGAAATTAATATATTGGATTGGATCAATTTTCATCTACCAATCCGAAAACCGATCCAATCCAATTAAAATTTTCGATTTTCAATTTTTTGATTTTCGGTTTATTCGATTATCGATTTTTCGGTTCGGTCACCACAGTGTGAATCAGTTGATGAACACCCCTACCTTACCTTGTTAACATATTGACTCGCTTTTTTATGTTCAACAAGTTTGTAAGATACCTAATAAATCCAATCTAATAATTATTAATAGAAAAAAAATCATGTCATTTAATATTAATTTTTCTTTAAAAAAAAATTAGAGCTTGGCGAAAACAATTTAAGAATGAATGAAAATTGATTGATTGTGGGTGAGAACAGATGGGTTCAACGATGAAGCCAACAATATTCGACGAGAGAGTAGCCTTGGCTATAAGGAATTGGCATTGCACCGCAAAGAAGCACGTAAAACGGAGCCGTGGATCGGGATCTGGAACTCCGATGTCAAGTAGGCCTACAACTCCGGCCCAATCCATATCCCCGGCTCACTTACTCCACTATGGCCCAATGGACATCAACCCCACATCTCCTATAAGATCCAACTCCTACGAGACCGATTCCCCTTCACCCTCCAACTCGCTCCACCACAAAGCCGAAGTCAATGCTGCTTGTTCTAGTTCAATTCATCAGCATGAAATGGAAATGGGCCAGGTTGCCCATGATCAAATACAAGAGGTCAGTGAGCCCAGCTCTATTCTTGTCCGTTCAGATCTGACCCAACATGAGATTGATATTGAGCACAGCAAGGAATTTTCATTTGATGGAATGGCTACAAATAATATAAAATGACAAGGGTGATGATGATTGCGGTACCAATTACCATCATCTGGGAGGAAGCAATAACGGGATAAAGGTGTTGTTGATGATGATTTATTATGGAAGAGTGACCATTTTGTCACACTTGGCAAAAAAATTTACCAGACTGCCACGTCAACAGTAAATTTTGTCAAAATGCCACGCTGCATCCTTAGCCGTCGTTGAAGAAGTCTGATAATATAACTAATTCGTATTATCTTATCTTAACTCGTAATTATTTTCAGACTTCTTCAACGACGGCTAAGGGTACAGCTTGGCATTTTTGCAAAATTTACTGTTGACGTGTGATAAAATTTTTTACCAAGTGTGACAAAATAGTCACTCTTCCAATTTATTATTTGTTTCATGTAAATTATGTTGGCTTACGAAACTCGGAATTTCTATAAACATGTAGTTTGTACATTAATAAGCATTGTAAACAAAAAGAACAAACTATGATTGAATTTTTATTCGCATGTATATGTAGAGAGTGACATTTATTTTGCTTTCAAGAAAAAACACATTTATTTGCTTCGCCGCTAGTCCCTGCATGTTTGACAGTTTTCACACACAGTCCGTGTATGCTTGACAGTTCGCACACAGAGTCACTGCATGCTTGACAATCCATCCTCTCATCTACACACATACTTACATACTTGAACACTTGGCATTTAATAACTATTTTACTAACATATTTTTTATATAACTTTTATTATCATCATTTATTTATTTTATTCAATAATACGTGCAATGTCACAATCCACGTCTGAGTAGGTTTTCACCCAAAAGAAGATCCCATGATAGTGTACCCATATATTTGTTGTGTGTGTAAGAAAAATATTATTCTCATATAACATATAAGTAGTTTTTAACCTAAAACTTAAACCGGTAAATGAAAGTCCATCGATAATATTAACGAAAAGTTTACCAACTTAGCATTACTTTGTCTTTATTATTTACACCTATGTGGAACGATAATGGTACTTAACCAAGTTTACCATCTACACCTTTCACTTAAGAAGTAAACCTGAAGCTAAAAGTTGACTGTTTATAGACACTACTAAAAAAACATGGATTAGAGACGGAATTTAGAGACGGAAAAAAACCCATTTCTAATAGAAACAAATTTTGTGATGGAATAACAATCCTTTGCAAATAAGGAGGGAATTAAGGACGAAAATATTTCTGTGTCCATTATTGACGGATTTAGAGACAGAAATTCAATCCTTCTCTAATAGACACAAATTCATCTCTAAATCTGTCTCTAATAGGGAGGACTATTTCTCTGTCTCTAAATCTGTCTCTAATAGAGATGATTATTTTCCGTCTCTAATAGGGATAGATTTAGAGACAAAACATAATATATAAAAATAGTGATAATATTAAGGATATACATTTGGGCTTAGTGAGGGAATTTAGTGATAGATTTTTTTCCATCTCTATCGGCGTTGGATTTAGAGACGCAACATGTAGTTACGTCTCTAATTCTGTCACTGATAGAAATGAAACTTTTTTCGTCTCTATTAACGAGGGATCGTGTTCCGTCTCTAAGAGAGACATATTATTTTTCGTCCTTGTTTAAGGCGAAAAATAATGTGTCTCTATTTGGGACGAATTTTGAGACAAAAGTAAATGACCCATCTCAAAATTCGTCTCTAATAGAGATGGATAATTTTCTGTCTCAAATAGGGACAAAAAATAATCTGTCTCTCTTAGGGATGAAACAAGGTCCCTCATTAATAGCGATTGAATTTTTCTGTAACTAGCAGTGACGGAATTAGAGATGTAAATACATATTACGTCTCCAATTTCGTCATTGATAGAGATGGAATTTTTTTTATCTCTATCAGTGAGGGATTATATTTTATCCCAATTTGAGACGAAAAATATTGTATCTCTATTTGATATATATTTTGAGACGAAAGTAAATGATCCATATCAAAATTCATCTCTAATAGAAATAGATCATTTTTTGTCTCAAATACGGACAGAAAATAATTCGTTTCTATTAGGAATGGAACAAGATCTCTCACTAATAGAGATGAAATTTTTTCTGTCTTTATTAGTGACAAAAGTAGAGACGAAAATGCACATTCCATCTCTAAATCCGTCATTGATCCATTTTCAAAATAGTACAAGCTTTGACTCATTAAAAGACTTTTTTTTGGAAATCCAACCACAAACTTATGAAGAGAGACAATCACGTCCGATAGACCCACGAGATATAAAAAAAGAAGAGCTCAGAAGGCGGATAATTGCATTCGAAGCAACAACTTGTGCAACCGCAAGGTAAGAAAAACCTAGTTTTGGAGCGATAATTTGTGCAAGTACAAAGTAAGAAAATTCAAGATTTGGAGCGACGACTTATGCTGGCCCAAAGCAAGAATCCAAGTTTTGATTTAATATAGAAGTCTATTACATTATAATATAGAAAAGAATCCAAAAAAATAGTATAATATAAAAGAATTGAGTGTCCAAAGTTTTTTTATCCTTTTTATAGAAAGGGAATGCCTCTTGATCTTCTTTCAGAATCTTCTTCATTAATGGGGTGATTGTTCTTAATATATGGCTCTTGGTCGTGTTTGTGTCGAAGGTTTTATCCCGATTTCAAATTTGGGTTGTGTTCGTGTTGAGCATTTTCCTGTTTGTTTCAAATTTGTGTCGTGTCGTGTCGCATTGACCTGAATTGCCACCCTTATGACAAGCCGATAGGATTCATCATCTCTGTAAGAGATAAGTTATCCACAAGAGACGGGGGGACTCGAATGACTTTTGTAAGACTTGAGAATCCGTGCACAAGGGATTATAAAGGAGTTCATGGATCCATCTTTAGAGTTTATGGAAAAGGACTCATAGTCATGTAAAAGCTAACTTCCCGTCATTCTAGAGTTGATACGATATCTTTGCTCTTGACTGGAAGATGGATAACGAGATGAAATGATGGATTGGCAATGGCAGGTAACCCTACGAGAAAGGTTGATCACTTGATCGTTCATCTAGCTTTGAGGTCACACAATATTGCTAATACTCTGTGTGATCATGTTAATCCTACTAAAAGGGTTTAGTAAGCCCATGCTTATTTATATCAGTGGCTATTTGGGTCTAATAGGTTATATACCTATATCACTTTGTTGGCTTGGACTAGCATATGGTTTTGGGCCTATAAGAATATAATGTAAAACCTGTGAGATAGGATCATGCAGGTGCTAAGTGGATATAATATTTATAAAATTTAAATATAATATTTATAAAGAATTAGATCAAGTATCTGTAAAGTTTAAATATAATATTTAAATTAAATAAGAACTAGATCCTTATCTTAATTTAAATTTTGAATTTGAATTCGGATAGGATAAAGATAAGATAGAGATCTTATCCCATGAATGAAATTGAAATAGTTTAAATTTTATTCATATCTTAATAAGATTAAAATGAGGCTTTATCTATAGGATTTGACTAGAAATAGTAATATAACTTGAATTCAAATTCAAATTATACAAAGACGCAATTCGTGTACATCGTGATATAATGTATAAAGCATAAAAACCATATAAAGATGTGGCCTTTATATATATGAAAAAATATTTTCTTTAAAGGAGAAAATTTTTCTCCTACTAGTGACTCATAGCGTAAGTGGGTCCCACCTTGAATTTTTTTTTCTCTCTGCTATTTTGTGAGCCCCACTTATACTATGAGTCTTTAGTAGGAGAAAATTTTTCTCTTTTAAAAGGAGAAAATATTTTCCCAAAATAGAGATTAATTTTTTCATTTTACATGAAAATATTTTCTCATGTTACACACACAATACATGAATGAGGTCCATAAAAAAGTGAGAAAACAAAAAAATCAAAATGAGTCACAACTTTTAATTGTGAGTGTAACATGAGAAAATTTTCTCATATGAAATAAGAAAACTATTTCCCTAAAAAAATACACACACAACCCAACATATGTTCAAATATAGTGTGTAATGTTGGCCTAATAGTTTATTTATTGGCGTTTAATATGGAAAAATCTGTCGTGAATAATACGTCTATTCATTATGTGGTTTATATTAACCAATTATTTCTGAGTTTTATGTCTAATAATTTTTAATCATAATTTAAATTTTTATATAATATATTACATATAATTGATTATCACGAATTCAAGATAAATCACTCATTATATATAATCATATTATTTTGTAATTTAAATATTAAGGTGAAAGTTATATATATGTTGATTGCATATTAAAAAAAATCCACACATTCATGCACGCAACCACCGTATATCGAGATCAAATATTACTTTGTTAAAATAAAAAATATATTAATTAATATGAATAATTACTTAGAATTTTCAATTATTATTTATTTTTAAATTTATTTTAATTAATAATATTATAATTTAAATTCTTTATGATTTTATACATCCAGATGTTTTAATATAATATCTATTTTATATTTTACGTTAATATAATAATTAAATATATAATAAAATTGTATTAACCGAAAAACATGTGTAAATCTATTAAAAAGTATTAAAAAATAACCCATGTTATCGTTTAAAAAGTATTAACCTTTATTCTATTGTTTAAAAACTATTTAAAAATATTAAAAATTAACCCATCTTAAAAATTATTAACCCATTTTATGGTTAAAAAAAATCTAACTTGTATTAAAAATTAAAAAATAATTGAAAACAAAAAGATAAGATTTGACAACTTCCCACTCACATCATCCCCAGAATTTCTCTTCCACCTCCCTATCTTTTCGATACTGAAAGTAGAGTATCCATTGAGCATTTGTTGAAGCAATATAGCAAGATAAAACTATTATCTCTTTGAATTAAAGAGCATATAATTTATCCTAATTCTTTTTAAAGAAAAGCGTACCGTGTTAAGTAAGTTGAAAAAAAAACTAATCATCAAATTATTTTACCCTCCCACGTTTTATCTTTCCCAAATTATTCCCTCCATCAAGTCATGCCATAATTTTTCTTTGCGCGCCAAC